AGACATAACGTTGATTTAGCAATGTTGAAGTTCTTTCTGACCTTACTAGCTCTATTGGAAAAACAGTAGAGTAAAAAGCCTGATGGGAGAAAATTTTTGCTGTATATAAGGAATAGCAAAGAGGGATGGTAAGTGAAGGAAAGTTGTGTGCTTAGCAGGTTTTTAAAATGAGAATGCAGCTTGTTGGGCTTTGGAAATGATTCAATGAAAAAGAAAATATTACTGATAAGTAAAGGGGGACAACTTCACTCTAGCTACTCTTTGTTTTTGTATTTCCAGGAATTGAATACGTTTTTCTTGAATTAATGAGTAAATAATACTATCAGTAAATGAATTTTTCTAGGTCAGTGTTGGATTAGAAAGTGTAATAAAGAACATTTTGGTGCATTTCTTTTTTAGATTGTTGTGAGAATTAAAAGTTTTCTTTAATTGGGTTACCAGTTTAGGTTATTCATTCACCCTTTATACTGTGCACTAGCTCCTGATTGCTTCCTTTCAGTCCCCCCCCCCCCCCGTGGGTAGTTGAAATTTGAAGTCTGCTAGCTAGGAAGTTTGTTTCCCCCCCTTCAAATCGAGCCATTTTACTTTTCTGATTATAATTCTCCAGTGTGATGTAGAGTCCAACTATTCTCATAATAATTACTTACTGATTTGCAGTACTACCATATGTTTTTAATAACTTATAATTTTGTTTGATTTACAGTTTAATAGCAAAGATTTGTATCAGAGATAGCAGAGTAATTTGATCATTCTGGTGCCAAGAATGAGTTTTACACTTGTCTTACTTTTCTTGTTGCTGAGACAAAATACCAGACACCCAAAGTTAAAGGAAGAAAGGTGTGTTTGGCTCAGTTTGTAGAGATTTCATTTCATAGTTGGATGTCTCCAAGGTATGGTGGCACATAGCAGAACATCATCAAAGAGGAGAAACAAGTTCATGGCAGGCTGAAGGTAGCAAGGCAGCAAGCAGCAAGTGACACACAGTGAGTCTGTTTCTGTCCTTTATAGCCTACCCAGGTTACCCACCCTTGGGATGGGAAATACTTATGCCCAGGGTGGCACAGACTGAATAGCATCTCAGCAAGAATCAGTGTCATCAGTGCTAGCTGGGGAGTGCCACTACTGACTGACATAGGAACAGTCCTCCTCTGTCAGGTGGTCATCCTCTTAGAGAAGGATATACATGGAGCAATGAGGGAGTAAGAGGACTCATGTCTAGCCAGCCCGATAGCCAAATCAACCCTGTTGACCAGTGGGGTGACAGAATGTCACAGACAGTTCCCTTCACATTCTTGACTCTTCCCCCACCCCACAACCCACACCATATATCTGGCCACCTATGATAAGTCTTCAATGACTATCATGCTTTGGAGGGACATCTAAATACAAGCTGTAACAATAGTTTCAAAGGAATTTTTAAAAAATGAACAAGAAAGGTAAAAGTCTATGTAGCAGAAAGTGTTTGTGGCATGCCACACCAAGAGTATTTTAGAAGTTCTCTTTCTCTATGAAGTTTGCTAATCTTTGATTTTCATAATATGTCATTAATGATTGAAATTAGTTGAGACTTACTTTTGCCCTACTACATAGCCCATTCAAAAACTTCCGAAAGGTGTGTACATTTTTTAGATATTAAGTGTCACTTTCTAGTTAGACTTACAAATTAAACTATTCAAGGCCACTATCTCTTTATTACTGATTTTTGTGGGCAGGAGTTCTGGGATATGATTTCTGGCTAGACCTATTGATAATTGGACTTTGAACTATTTATTTTATTTTATTTTTTTATTTTTTAGTACAGGGTCTCACTACATAGATAGGGCTCCTAGTTATTCTCCTGTTTTTCAGCCTCTCAATTGCTGGGATTACAGACGTGTACCACTATGCCTAGTTTCAAAGGATTGAGCCACTGAGCAGCAGGGTTGATTTGGCTATTGGGCTGGCTAGACAGGAGTCTTCTTACTTCCTTGCTACTCCATGTGCATCCTTCTCTAAGAAGATGACCACCCAACAGAGGAGGACTGTTCCTAGGCTAAGGGTATATAAGTAGCTGTATTCCTTGGCTAGAACCAGGGTGGGGCCGGCATGGCAGGCCAGGGATGGAACCCCGGCTCCTGTGTCTGCCCAAGCAGGCACTTAATCTGCTGAGCTGTCAGGCCAACCCTGAACTATTATTTTATAAATCATAGTTTTTTTCTGGAGATAACATTTGTTTTAATTTATTTTGAGGCTATTTTATGAGTACATACTGATTCATGTCCCTTTTACTGTATCCTTTCTTACAATGTAGAGTTTAAAAAAAAATCTGTTACATTTTTTGCTTTAAAATTGATTTGTTTGATACAATCATCAGTACTTTTAGTTATTATTTGCTGGAAGATCTTTTTCTGTCCCTTAATTTTCAGTCTTTGCCTGGTTTGTGCTTTTGTTAAAGTTCTAGTTTTAGTTCATTGTTGTGTAGTAATTTAATCTGTTGACCTTTTGAGAAGTTTATTTACTTATTGTGGTTAGTGATATAGTTGGAATTCTTTGTATTGCTTAATCTGTACTTGATCTGTTTGTTATAGCATACTAGATTATTTTTGCAACTCTTTCCTCCAGTTACTTTTCCTTTTGGTGCTGACCACTAATTTAATTCACCCATGTATTGTGTTTAAATCTATTTGTGTGTGTGTGTGTGTGTGTGTGTGTGTGTGTATAGTATATATGTATGTATGTATGCATGCATGCTTGCTTGCTTTTTTGCTTTCTTGTTTTGGTACAGGGCCTTGTTACATAGCTTGTACTTATAGTGATCCTCCTGTCTCAGCCTCCCCAGTGCTGAGATTGCAGGCATGTGCCACCATACCTAGCTTTACTGGTTGGCACCACTGTGCTGTCTCCTCAGCCCTTATGTTTTTATTTCTAAAATATATTTTATTTCTACAAGTTAGATTTTTAAATTTGACTGGTCATTTTAGTATTCATTGTTTAAATTCTTTTTATTTTGGTAAACATTGTTTTATAATTGATTATTTTAATATAGATCAAATATTAATATTCCAATTACTATTTATATTTATAGTAAAGTATTATACTATATGATAACTTCAAAACTATAGCAGTCAAGAGGAAGGGCAGGAGTATGAAGTGAGTGATCTGAGACATCTTGTGTTGCCCTTCTAGTTTTTTTCTTCCTGTTTTGGTCATCTGGGGCTGGATAATTGTTTCTGTGGAAAGGCTATCCTCTATGTTATACAGTGTTTATTAGCATTCCCAAGTTCTCATCGGAAGCCAATAGACCTCTTCTACTCCTTCTGCCACAATTGTCACAAGCCAGAATGTCTGCAGATATTACTGAGTTTCTTAGGGAGCTGGGCAGTCATCTCTAGTTGACAACTGCTTGTGTTGCTTTTGTGACATTTTCTAGGGGAGGTATGCCTTATAAATCTGTAGATATAGCTTTGTTAAATAATTTCAGATCAAGACTACTGAGTATTCCATAGATAAAGACTATTTTTTATCTGTATGTACAAAATTGTTAGGATGGATATATAGCCACTTTCTCTTAATTTAATAAGAAGAAAGATTTGTACTAATAGCGTTTGGACAGGATATCATGTTGGCATCTTGAGCTATGAATTACTACTACAAAGAGAACAATATGCAATGTATTAATTTTTGTAACTCTCCTGCCAACCTGTTTTGAAACTGTCTCATTGCAATTTTTTTCTCAATGAAATTAATAAAAATAAAATAAAATAAATGTTAGGGCTGGAGAGATAGCTCAGTAGAAGGTCCTGAGTTCAATCCTTGATACCACAAAAATAAATAAATTAATTAAAAATCAATAAATAAACGTGAATGTTATAATGTTCTCAGTCTGTTTCCCTGGAGTTTGACTCTTTTTTGGGGGGGGGGGGGACCGGGGATTGAACTCAGGCCCTTGCGCTTGCCAAGGAAGCACATATTCCACGGAGCCATCTCCCCGGCCCCCTACTTTTTATTTATTTATTTATTTTAGGAATTGTTATTTATTTATTTTTTTTCCTTTGGCGGAACCGGGGATTGAACTCAGGCCCTTGTGCTTACCAGGGAAGCGCTTAGTCCACTGAGCCATCTCCCTGGCCCCTGGAGTTTGATTCTTTAGTTGGTAGCACTTTAACGAGGACAGGACCAGTGCATAATTTTTCTTTTTCCCTGGTGGTTTTCACCAACCAGCTGCTTTGTTTTTCCTGCCAGTGTCTCTGCTTCTTTTATCTCCCATTCTCCATTTTTTTTCTTCCTTGTATTGAACAAATAATTACATCAAAAATATTCCAGTATTGGCCTATTTGCTAGGATATCTTAGTGAAATAAAGGTTTTGTTGTCATCAGTTTGCATGTGGTGGGCTAAGATGGCATATAAATAGTTAATAAAGAGGAAAGTGTCAAATATTTGCTAGTACTGCAGAGATAATTAAAATGTATTTTAGTAGACTAGCCGCACTGTTGTAAGTTAGGTAGTTGGGAAGGCCCTATACCAGGATGTGTCTTTTCAGCCAATATTAGGAAGGTGGAGGTGCATGTGAAGAAGTTGGTTTGGAGAACTCATTGGGTAGAGCATTGCAAAGAGAGGGAATCACTGGAAAGTTGTATAATTGAAATCAGTAAGTATTGAAAACAGAACTGAGGAAAAGCTTGGCAAGTTTGTTCATCTCTTAACGTTATTGGCAGTGGTAATCAATATTTGAGGCTTTAGGGATAAGTAAAAGTCATTTTGAAAGAGTATTATAGTAGTACCTAGAAAATAGTGGGGTTTTTGTTTTTGTCATTTTTTCTTTCATCAACTATAGCTAATGTATTATTAAAAATTAAAAATTTCATGAGCCCAAAATGTATCAGAAAAGATTTTAACACTTTTTAATTGGTGACAATTACTTTTCTGTGTGTGTGTGTGTGTGTGTGTGTACAGGTCAGTTTGTTAAATTTGACTCCCCTGCCATCCCTGAGCAGCTAAATAGCATACTGTTTTATTCCAGGCCTCTCATTGTGTGGATCACTGATTGAATAATACATGGCTTTACCTCGTCTCACGGGAGCCTTGCGCTCCTTTTCAAATGTCACTAAGCAAGACAATTATATTGAAGAAGTGGCTGACTTAAAGGTAAATGTACTAGGTGAAAACTATTATAAATATAGATTATGGGAACTATTTGACATTCTTTTATTAAATTCTGTGGGCTTAAATCAGAGTGTTTACCTTGTTATGAGACTACGAAGGAAAGTGGTATAGAAGGTGTTTTCTGTGGGAGCTGTTTTATAGAAAAGAAAAATCAGAACTATGATACTGAGTTCTTTGTTAATATGTCTGTTGCTGTGATTCCTGCCATAGTTAATTTTGTGATTTAACACACTAATTTACTTCTGAATCATCAGTGTAAGGTTTTAGGTCTCAGATAAAATTCTTAACAGGGGCTGGAGAGATGGCTCAGTGGTCTAAAGCACCTACTTGAAACAAGCTTGGCAAAGCACAGGGACCGTGGTTCGATCCCCAGCACCACATGCCAGCCAGACCCGCCCCCTGGTGGGCTGAGCTGGCCACACACACACACACAATAATAAATAAATGTAATAAATAAAAATAAATAAATATTAAAAAAAATAAAATAAAATTCTTAACAGATTATGAGACCAACACAGCACAAACATTCTTATCAAATTCTTATCAAATGAACAGAAAAAAATGTGTGGACCTTGCCATGGGAAATGTGAGTATTCATACTATGAACTCAGCAGTTGGTTTTAGGATTAACTTGTTACTTTGAGTGGTAAAAGAGGCACTTAAGGCTTAAAGAAATATTTTGAAAGCCACCTTGTGATTAAAACTTTAGAAGTAAATATTAGTAAGAAAAATTTATGTGGACTGTAGACACTTTAATTTTCATAGTATAGTTTAATCCCTGTGTTAATGATAGCTATGATATAAACACGTTTCCTTGAATGAGTCAGTTTTACAACAAATACTAATTTGATTCTTGCTATGACAATAATTAATGATATTCCACTAGATAAGATGGTTATCATTGTGGAATTCTCTTTTATGGAAGGCTGTCTTTATAGTCTCTTTCTTACATAGATTTATGAGTATATTTTGTGAATCATAAGGTAATATGATTTGATAAAGAATTTCTTCTAATGTGTATATAAGTTTTAGAAAGCAATAAAATAAACTACAACATGTAGTTACAAATTTAATATTAATAAAAATAAAAATGTCAAAAATTGCAGAAAATTCTGTGTTTCTTGGAAATGTCCGTGACATGTGGTATATTAGTTTGCACAAAATAAGATGAAGGGCCATAAATTGAGTGGCTAAAAACAAATTATTTTATCAGTTCTTGAGCTAGAAGTCCATGATAAGGTGGTGTTGGCAGGTTTGATTTTCTCTGAGGCTTCTCCTTTTTTTTTTGACTGGCTCACCACGTCCTGGGGGAGGGACTGGCATGGCATGTGGTAGTGGGGGGTGGGGAGGGTTCAAACTGGGGTCCATGTACTTCCTAAGCTTGTCTAAGCAGGCACTTTAGTCTGCTGAACTATCTCCCTGACCCCCTGAGGCTTCTCTTCTTGCCTTGCAGCCTTCTCATTGTGTCCTTACCTGGTCGGTTTTTTGTACTAGCATGATTTTGGGTGTTGCCTTATGGGACACCAGTCTGATGGGAGTAGGGACTTCCATACTGGTCTTAATTTTAACTTAACTCTTTGGAAGACCCATTTTCCAAATATTGTCACATGCTGAGGTACTACCAATTAATTTTAATGTGTAAAGTTGAAGCCCATGGCATGAGGATTCTGTCAGTTGGCAAATGTGAGGATATTTCTATTACCATGATGAACCTTTTAAAAAATTTTAATCTTTAAAATACTGTAATCTTTAACTTTCTTCCTAAATGTGATTTTGTAGCATGTCCACAATTTTGAAGAGACACAAGAAGAGCAAAAACTGTAGACACTTTTATGTATTCTGAACATCTTTGAAATTTTTAAGTTACTGAAATTTGTAAAAAATTAAAGTATTAATAATAGATTTGAAATTATAAATTAATGCATGCATAAATGATATAGATTGGCTTTTCACTGGGGGAGGTTAGATCTTCTGGAAAAATTAGCCTTGAAGTTGTGAACTTGAGCCTGAAGTGATATAAGCTGTATGTATGGAGAAACATGTAACAGTTTGTGGCTTTATTTAATTTTAAGCAACAACATTCACTTTATTTGCTAATTCCTTGCTTGACTGGATATTATAGAATAATATCCTTGCCTTGTTTGTTGAAATTTTATTGCTGTAAACCTTTATGCTATTTTATAATTAGTAGTTTCACTTGAAAATTGATTCTAAAAAGAAAAGATTTGTTACACTCTTTAGACTTTCTTTTTCCTGTCATCTAAAGATACGGAATTGTGTCACACACAAAATGGTTAATCTTTTTTTTTTTTTAGATTTATTTATTTATTTGGTACAGGGTCTTGCTAAGCAACTCAGACTTGTAGTGATCCTCCTGTTTTAGCCTCCCTAGTGCTGGGATTATAGGCATGCACCACCACACCCAGTTTCAGTGGCTGGCACAGTGTAGGGCTGGCAAAGCATGCAGTACCTGGGTTCAAACCCAGGTCCTTGCACTTGCCAGGCAGGTGCTTAGACCACCGAGCTATCTCCCTGGCTAACCTTCTTTACTAGAACAGCTATTTTAAATCCTTCAGAGCAATTTTAAAAAGGCTAAATTCTGTACAGTTACTGTTAATATCTTATACTTGGATTATTTCTTACCTTACCTTCCCAAGGCCTTTGTAAATTATTTTAAATTAATGATGTAACTGATTTCAAAATTTAAAAGTGTGTGTATAAGGACTGATGCTTGTCCTACAGCGTTTTATTTATTTATTTATTTATTTATTCAGAACCAGGGATTGAACTCAGGCCCTTGTACTTGCTAGGCAAGCGCTTATTCCACTGAGCCATCTCCCCAGCCCTATTTTATTTATTTCTGTAGGCTTTTTTTAACACTCCTCTGAAGTAAAGTGGTATATATAATGTTTCATTTTAATGTTTTTTATTTTAAAAATGTTTATGTGTAAAAAAGTAGAGATAAGGACTAATTAACATTGACCCCATTGTAACAACTTAATTCATTTTGCAGCCAGTCTGTTTCATCTCTGTTTGCCCTTCTCTTCCCGTAAATGCAAGTAGACAGCCCTGTTCTAAATGATAAAGCTGAAGTAGGAACTCATAAATTATAAATACCATCACTATCACCAAGAGTAATATTACAGTTTTCTACCTGACTCAACAGCTTTTCATTTGGTTGGAGTGCATCTTGTGTCTTTTATCCATGGATCAAAGCTAGTGATCTAGCATAAAATTTTTATTGCTTTCTATAGACAGTTCTTGAGAATAAAAAAGTCTATAGTCTCAAGAAGAAGAGTGTATGCAAAAAAGAGTTTCTTCTATGGCTAAGATGGTCTAGGCTCATACTTTGAAAAACAAAATACTTACTTCAAATTGTTGAACTTATCCTAGAAATCTAACTTTCTTTGAGTACCTTTTATTAAAAAAGAATGCCAGAATGCTCTTATTTAGATACACTATGTGATAACAGTACAGCGTAAAAATGAGTAGAGGTACTGATGTGCTACATTAGCAATTGCTATTATCTTCTAGATAGTAAACTTTTTACTTTGCTTTGGTATTTATTTTGCTTTATGTTAATTTTATGACTATGCATTATAATTAAAATTGTTAAAAATATTTTATTGAAACAGACAAAAGAGATTTTGTGAGATCACATTTAAATGAAAGTCCTACTGAGAGAAGTCATTTTGGGTACAAATAGATAAAACTGAATCCTTAAGGGCAGTGCCCAAGTTGTATTTTCTGTACGTGATAAGTAATGGGTTTGAGAAGAACTTTAACCTATGTTTCTCTTTATTATATCTATTTCAGCTCAAGCGATCCAAACTTCAAGAACAAGTTTCAGATTTGGGCCTGACATGGAAGAAGATAGTGACATTTTTGAATGAAAACCTAGAGAAGAGTAAAATGCAAAGCATAGATGAAGATTTAAAAAATATATTACAAGCTGCGAAACAAATAGGTATTTTTAAAAAGAATCTGTGAGGCTTAAAGATAGATTCTTTATGACTATAACATGTATTAAAAGCAGAATATTTCTTGGCAAATGTTCACAGTTACAAAAGTCTTATCTAAGAATTTAGGATAGAGGGTTGGGGCCGGAAGTTACTATTTATAGTACAACTAGACCTGAGAGCTTTATAGAAATTTAGAGTATGAAAACAATTGCCTTTTAATCTAGCCCTGATGCACCTTAAAAGCTATGTACCTCAGTCTCTTATGGATGACCAGCTAGTATACAATGAATTGTGAAACTTAATCTGTGTTTGACTGCACAACTTCTCAACCCAAACTGACATTTTCTTTAATTGTTAAAATATGAAAGAAGTACTCAATAGCTATTGTAGGTTATTTTTCTAAGGCTAAGAAAACTAAGTGAAACAAAACAGGGCAAACCGAACTGCATATATTGCAGGTTAATAATTAGCTTCTCTTCTGGAGGGTTAATGACCTAAGTTTGCAGACCAAAAATTAGAAAAAAGGAAGGGCTGCAAAGTCAGCCAACATTTTGACCCTAGCCTTTCAAGGTCAGTGAAGATTCAGGACATAGGAGAACCTATACTGTAACATCATGTAACTCAGTTGTGTCCCAAATTTTCTGATCAAGGAGATTATGGAGCCACAGAGGAATGTGATTGATGATGCAGAGTGTGCCTAAGAAGAGTCACATGGAGAGAAAACATTCTCTCAGGCTTTCATGGAGAACAAATTGGCCATGCAATGTCCGTGACTCATCCACATGGCTGACGCTGACAAAAGATCTGCAAAGTGTGGTACAAGGTTACAGGATAAGTCCTGAGGGGACTTGACTGACCTTGTCAGATACAAAAGTTACATTTCTTGTTATATAGGTCTTGCTTCATTTTGTTCTTAACCATCCAGCAGGAAAGTATAAAAATGAGGTATATAAAGTAAAGCCATATTAATATGCTGAGCTGTGAAAGGCTCAAGTCAACAACTTCTGTGGATAACCTACTGTTTTGGACTGCTGGGCTATGTTGGATTGTTTTGCTGAATTCACACACCTATAGTATTTAGATGCCAGTGGAATTCCCATCTCTGACATGACTAAACAAAAAAAAAGGGATACAAAGGAAGGATCATTTTGTATTTGTATATACAGAATAGTTAGGATAGATATACAGCTACTTTCACTTAATGCAAAGAGTAGAAAGATTTGTACTAATAGTGTTTGGACAGGATATCCTGTCTCTTGTACTATGGATAACCACAAGAAGATAACAGTGTACAATATATTAATTATTGGAATTGTCTCAGTTTTGAAACTGCCTCATTTCTCAATAAAATAAAATTAAATAAAGTGAAAAAAACAGGTGTTTCTCTGCTAAAAATATCTCTACATTGAGATTTATCATGTTATTTGCAATTCTTGATGACTAAAAGGCATATTTTTAAAATTTGTAGTTCTAGGGGCTAGGGAGATAGCTGTAGAATAAGCACTTGCCTGGCAAGTGGGAAGCCGTGAGTTCAATCCTTGGTTCCACCAAAAAACAAAAAATTTGTAGTTCTAAATTTTTTAAATAACGGCAAATTTGTACCTGCAGAGTCCACATTCATTCTCTGGCTGCACTTCTGTGAGGTGGCCGCCTCCTTCCTGGCTTCACATCCTCCTTGTGTTGACTGTGGTGCTTTCCTCATGGCCTTCTCTCATTTCCTCACACCTGCCACACAGCTGGTTTTGGGGACTGCATGTAGTGCTCCCCTTGCTGCAAATGTTCTGTCTTTTAGGGTGGTTGCATCCTTTCTTATCCTTTTCAGCTTAGCTCAAAAATTATGTCCTTAAACCTTCATTGACCATCTACTCTTAAGTACTCATCCATTTGAGTTGTATTACAAAGTCCTCTTTGTATTTTGTCCATAGCATTTATTATTATATAACATTCTGTCAGTTTTTCTAGTGCTGCTCCTTTTATTTCAAGCTTTCATAGTCTTATTTTTCCAGCCTTTCTTTCTCCATTTATTGTTTCCTTAGGGAATATATATCTAACATTTATTTAGTAAACAAGAATTAGGTGTAAAACTTTTTAGGAATTTGTAGCAAAAACACTTTTTTGGAAATCAGAAGATTGCCATAAATCTTTTAAAATCGTTGCTCTCGCATAAAGTTTTGGTTTCCATTTTAGCATCTGTGTAGTGGAGATAAATTGTTTGGATGAAGCGTAGTAATTCAGTGTGAAAGTTTTTAGTACATTCTGTTATGAAGAAATTCTAACTTATAAAATTATAATTCCACCTTTTAAAAATCATACATGTTACATGTCAGTAAGTTTGTAAATGCTAATTCCATTTTTGCTCAGAATTTAGTGTCTTCAAAATAAAATAAAATTAATTAAAGAAGTTAGTGTCAGGGGCCGGGGAGATGGCTCAGTGGAATAAGTGCTTCCCTGGCAAGCGCAAGGGCCTGAGTTCAATCCCTGGTTCCGCAAAAAAAGAAAAAAAAAAGAAGTTAGTGTCAGTAATGTCAATCATGTTATTTGTAGAATTACAATCCCTGAATTACTTTAAACAAAAATTTCCAAGCTTAAGTAAAATACACATAATAAATAAGATATATACAGGTACTATAAAGTTAATTTCAAAGTATTATGTAATTTTTACCATGTTTTTCAAATACTTGAAGAATAGTTGTATGACAGTATTTTTGTCATTGCTTTATAATTAAAATTTGACTTTATAGTTGAATAAATTAAGAAATAAAAATCGCCTCTTTTCATATATAAATTCTTAGCCTTCATATGTTTCAACATCGGATGTAACAAATTTGGTGTTAAAATAGTGCTCTAGTATCAGTGAAGTTTAATATAAATCAGAACTAATCTATTGAGCCATCCATTTGGAGCTAGGTACAGTAAGGGAATAAAAACAAGTGTAATTTCTTTTTTGAAAGAGGCAGCTCATAATTAGAATTTGAAACAGGAATTATATAATCAGAGGCCCAGGGAAAAGATAAAGATACAGAAATATACATAGAATAGAATCTTTCTTTTGTAATCACAGCTTTTAAAATTTTGCTGTTCTGAGGTAAAGTCATCTATGTTGCCTTGGCTGACCTCCAACTTCAGGGCTCAAATTATCATCTTGCCTCAGCCTCTGGAGTAGCTAGGAGTACAATTGGCCACCATGTTGGGTAGAAACTTAGGTTTAAATATTAAGAAATCCTTTTTGGCTACTGTAGAAAATTTGTGGTAGGCTTAAGGCTGGGGGAAAGAACGATTGGGTCAGTTTCTGGCTATGTAGGAAATTTGGACCAGGCCATGTAAACTGTTCGAGATTTGTGTGTCATGATCTCAGAGCCAAGCTTTCATTACGATAACCAGTGTTATTTGTATTATTGACTTTACCAGTATTGCTTATTATTTTAGGTAGGTTACATTAACTTTCGGGCCTCTTGTAGAGTTAATTCTTTTTTACTACTTTAAGAACAATTTCTCAAATCTGTCACAAATCGATTCTTTTATTGAGAAAATTGGATATGAGGATTTAGCACCTTGAGGATATTAGGGACTAATACTTTCTTTTCCTACTTTGATAAGGAATTTCTTTCCTGTCCCTGTTAAGCAACAGCTTTCTTTTGTATATTGTGATTTATTTTAAACTTTTTTATGCATGTAAACCTTGCTGAATTAAATGTTTTTGAATATGAACATGTAAATCTATAATACATCTATTTCTTGCTATCTAGGTTTATGGTACAAATCAGAAAATTATAAATGGTTTAGGTTTCCTTTCAATTCTAAAAGTCTAATTTAGAATTTTTTTTACATCCTGTTTATTTCAGTGGCTTGTCAAATCAGTGTTTAAAATTTGGTTTTGAAAGTTTAGGTAATCTCTCTAAAGAAACACCTAAGAGCTGTTATTAGGCAGGTTCTGTATTTATATATAGAATGATTACTATTAATAGTTTAACTAAAATGAATGATTACTTTGGAATTTAGTGGTGGATTTTTCTGCTTCTAAATGAATTATTTTCCTTGATATATTTTAGCTGTTGGATTTATGCAACATATATATGATATGTGTATGTGTGTATATTAGTTGTATATACATATATAAGTTAACATATATGTAAAAATTTTTTTTAGTTGTAAGTTGAACCTTGAGTCCCTCAAACTAATTTCTTTCTTTGATCTTTCAATAGTTGGAATTGATAATGGGAGAGAAGCAATTGAAAGTGGGGCCGCATTTCTCTTTATGACATTTCACTTGAAGAACGCTGTTGGCCACATGGAGACAAAGGCTATCAAACAGATGTTTGGTCCATTTCCCTCGTCATCTGCCACAGCAGCTTGTAATGCCACTAATCGAATCATTTCTCAGTTTAGTGAGGATGACCTTACTGCTCTTGTCCAGATGACAGAAAAGGATTATGCTGATAGAGTATTTTTTGGTAAAAATTTAGTATTTTCATTTGACATGCATGATCTGGACCACTTTGATGAACTGCCAATAAATGGTGAAGCCCAGAAAACTATAAGCCTTGATTACCACAAGTTTCTGAATGAACATTTTCAGGAGCATTGCACCCCAGAGCTCAAAACCGTGGAAAAAACAAATGGTTCCTTTTTGTGGTGTGAAGTTGAAAAGTACTTAAGTGCAACTTCAAAGGAAATGACTGAAGCACCAAGAATAGAAGATCTTTGCTATACCTTATATGACGTGCCTGCTTCTGTGCCAAGTGGGGATGAGCTTCAGGATGAGGTATAGTTGAAGTTTTATATAAATGTGGATGATCTTAATAAAATAGGCTTTTGCACTTTATTTGTGTGCTTCTGGAAATTGAACTTGGCCTTGCACACATTAAGTATGTGCTCAGCTACTGCCCCAGTCCAGCATACCCTTTTTAAACATTGATAATTAGCAATGAAAATACTCTTTTTAATATTGTAGCTTTATAATTCAATTGTATAGACTAATGTTTTTACATGATGAGTAGTGTTAGGAGGGACTGTGAAGAGCTGTGAAAGAATCGCTGGGTGGTTGTGGGAATCTGCATGAGCCAGTTCCTGGGGCCATCCTGTTGAAGTCTGTTTCAATGTAAAAATTAGTACTGTTACTCTGAAAAGGATGTTGATTTGATTGAAAATTATATCATCACTCTAGTAACTGGAAATACTGTTTGTAAGCATTTTGTATTTCTAAGGGATCTGTGATAAAATTACTAAACTTTAAATTGTTACAATTTTTATATATTAGTGACTTGCTAATTTAGAAAATTTCTAATTTCTATGTTTGAAACAGCTATTGAAAAGTAAGTTAATAACTGGATTATTTGATATATAGGTCATTTATTTAGTAAAGTATTGTAAGTTTGTTTTCTGTTAGAAAACATTATTTTAATTTCTGTGCCACAATTTGGTTATGACTTACTTTTACTATCCACATGAAAAATTTTTCCTGAGGGCTTAAGTTTTGCCTTTGATATTGGCATTATATTTTTTCCCAAATTTAAAATAATATCACAGTATTAATTCTGCACATATTGATTGTGTAACCCAGTTGACGAAGGATGGAAAGGGGTGATACATTGTTATAGAAAGGGCAGAGCCTTGAAATCAGATTTTTCTATATATATATTCCTTGTATGACTTTAGGTTATTAAATCTCTCTGGTCACTTTTCTTCTGTGGACTTTTTAAAATGAATGTACAGAATTAGCTAACCAGGCTTTGGAGGACTAAACCCATAATAGTGATAAATGATACATTTTGTATTAGTTTGGAAGTAGGATATATTGTTAATTCTGTGGTCAGTGTTATATATCTTGATATCAGATCTGTTCTACCTTATTAAATGAATTATCTCATTTAATAATTAATATTGTTTTAAAAATTAAGATTTATAGCAATTTTTTACTGGTATTTCATCATATATATATATATCATCATTCATACATATATATATATATTTTTTTTTTTTTTTTCCGGAACTGGGGATTGAACTCAGGCCCTTGTGCTTGCCAGAAAAGCATTTACCCACTGAGCCAACTCTCCGGCCCCTCATCATATAATTGAACACGTAATATGGTTATAATAACCATAACCTGTTATGATTATTGTAAAATGAAACTTAGAAAAATCAAACTAATGGATATTTTGTTTTCTAAATAAGCTGTAAGACTATTCTTTTTATTTATGGATACCTGGAATGAAGTTTGTATTTCTTAGTTCTTCACCACAGTTTTAAAGTACGTAGCAGTCTCATTGCTGAGTAGAAAATACGTTGTTTTTAGGATTTTTCCATAATCTTCATTGCAAGGTCAAATTGAATTTCATCCTTCATCAGTGTTATTTTTATTAGTAACTTACTATGTTACTAAGTGCAGTGCTAATTGCTAGCCATAGAAGAATGACTTAGCAGCTTTGTTCTCAGATAATTGTTAAAACAGAAGGAGATATACCAACAGATAACTATGCAGATGTCGTATGGATCATACTTTATACAAATGGTGGCATTAAAGATCAACTCATAGACCTTGTGGAAGGCTGAGTGTGGTAGAGAAAGTATTTGTGGGAGGAGATTTAAGCTTGAACTAAATCTTAAAGTATATCTAGATTATTCTTTTTGAGTGGCTCAGAAAAATAGTATATTTCAGGCTTAAGGACAAACAGTGTGAGATGGGCAGGATTCAGAGGAAGTATTAGAGAGGGGAGGGTGTGAAGATTGGTGACAGCCAAGTCATACAGCGGTACAGGTGCCTTGTTAAAGTGTATTTATTATAAGACACTGTTAAGATACTCAAGTCCAGTGACTTTCAAACAGTGGTTCAATAATGTAAGGAAATAATTCACATTCTTCTGGTGGCTTCAGTACTGCTATAATTTTAAATGAATCATTACTTCCTTGCTTTGGTTTTGCTGTTTGTGAGTGAAAATGAATAATCATGAGCATTTTTAATTTTACAGTGTAGGTTATTCATGGTTGTACACAGGATCAATTTCTATGTAATGATACTGTTATTGTAATAAGTTTTGGGTATAATTTTCAAATGTGATGATGTTGGGGATTGAACTGAGGGCTTTCATACTGAGCTACATCCCCAGCCCTTTTATTTTTTTTATGACAGGATTTCGCTTAATTGCCCAGGTTTGGCTCCAACTTGTAATCCTCCTTGCCTCTGCCTCTCAAAGGGCTGGGATTCTAGGCAGATGAAATGATGCTTGGGTTCAATGCAATTCCTCTTTTCCTGTACCTTACATGTTTTTTGATTTTTTTTGTTATGGAGACTGAACCTAGGACTTCATAGTATCTATTTACTTCTGAATTCTTTCCTCAGTGAAACATGGAAAAAGGTATTTAAAAAGGTAATTGGTTTATATGGTAGCATAAATCCCTTTTCTTTTTAAGGTTTTAAATGACTATTTCAGGAAGACTAAATAACCATGGGCTTTTTTGCTATTGGTTGAGAAAGTTAACAAAACGGAGGGTGCTTAATTTTAAATGTAACTTAAAAGGAACATACAGGAATCTTCTTCTGTACAGAAAGCATTTTTTTGTTTCTTATTATATGTTTTCTCAGGTCTGAATATAGTTTACTGACCTAAGACTTAATTAGTGATAGAGCTGCTTTTATGCTAACCATAAAATTCCCCCACCATAAGGACTTTTATGTTATTGGAGAACTAGTGTTAGAAACATGAAAGTAAAATGTGTATTCATAGCTGTGATTCACTTCAATGACAGTGCAAGAGAGGGTCTGGTCTTAGATATGTTGAGGAAAATAATACTAATGACAGTCCTTAATAATGCTATAACTGAGAGCTGGCCAGATAGCTTAGTGGACTAAAGCTTCTGCTTAGGCATAGCGCAGCGGTTGGGGTGCAGTCCCTGTCCTGCCATTACGGCCCCGCCCTGGGCACACTGAGATGGTGATTGAGACTGGGTGTGGTGGTGCCTGCCTGTAATCCCAGCACTTGAGAGTCTGAAAATAGGAGAATCACTATGAGTGATCTGATCTGTGTAGTGAGACCTTGTACTAAATACCCCCCCCAAAAAAAAGGACTGTAGATGATGTTATTTATATAGAGGATGATAGAAAAATGTAGAGTGCATTTAAATTTTAAAAACTTTATTACAGTAAAATAACCACCACTCCCTCAAATTACTCCCCCATGCTTTACAAACACCCATCCCATCATTAAAGCCCCTTCAGCACTGCTGGCAGTTTTCTTTCTTGAGTATCTTCATAATGTATCATAAAAAATATGGTACATTTTCTTCCAGTGGAAAGGCAAGCTTGAGGAAATACTTTGATGTGTTCTCATCCACCCTATTCATTGAACTTAGCACTATGTGATTTCTGAGAATTAAAAATTCACAATATTTTTGATCATTTTTTTGTAGATGGCTTCATTCTACGTTTATAGCAAGTTTAAAGACATAGCATCGCTACAATCTGAAAAGGTTACACTCGGACTTTTTCTCCAATTATATGATTATAATTTTTAAAATAGCACATCAAAACAGACAAGAAATTTAGAATTTCATTTGTAACTATTGTAAACTTCATGTCTTTTTCAAACATTAAATATGTTTTGAAATGTTTCTAATTTTTTTAATATCCCTGCTGTGCTGATACCTTAAGGAAATGGTTTTTTGTCTTTGTGGATTCTTGCTCAATAATAAGTACTTTATAGATTAGCAAGTTGAATTTAGAGACATTTGGAGATTTGCTTGAAACTACAGAATAAATAGTGCAGCCAGAATTTAAGTTCAGGCATTCTGAATCCCATGTGTATTTGCATTCTTTGCTAAGAAAGAAATCTGTACATTTTACTTTACTTGGTATTTTG